GTCCACATGGAAGAGGGCAATAAGTGCCTGTCATTTATCTTGGATGGTGAGATGTGAACAAGAAAGAGGCCAACCCTTTACTGCCAGGCTGCTTTTTGGATTTCAGGGGCAGTCGGATGAATGTGACAAGATGACCCGCCCACCATGGAGGCAACTCTTCAAGCTACAATAAGGAAAGTTAAAATGACAAGTGTGGCCTAGTGTGGCAGTGAGAAAATAACATAAAATAAGAACGTCTTTGTGACAGTTTCAGTGTGAATTTGTGCTCTTGACTGATTAATCAATGTGATACAGTGAAATGTATCACAGACTTGGGCTTTCATACTGCGTGGAGAGCATAGCTGTCAGCAAAATTCACCCTTTTCATTCTATAGTATCTTACATAAAAGAGCTTTATCACAGGAATTCATATTCTTTAATGTTCCTTAAGAGGCTTACTACTATAGTCTTACTCCTCTGCTACCTGTCAGGCCTCCATTTGGGAATGGAATCCAGAATAGTAACATAATGGGATGGAACTCACCACTGACACTGTATTGACCTTGTATCCCAGGCAAGTCCTTTCTCTGATGCTGGGATCTTTAACTGTCTTGCTAATATGCTTCTTCACCCAAATTAGATTTGACACTTGTCAAAACAGGATTTGAGACATCAGCCTCTTTTTTATGACAAAAACCATGGGAGAATGCCAGTTTTTTCAGTTACAACAATAGGTTGCTGTTGTTTTGATCTCCTGTCTTCGTCTTTAGTAACTTGAAAAGCCAGTAGCAAGTTTTTGCAATTAAAGGTGGCTCTGGAAGCCCCAGTTCCAAGTTGGTAACAAAGGACTGTCAGAGCACAACTAACTTTTTGATATTAAAACTAAGGATGTTGCTAATAAAGGAGAAAAGGATGTGAAGGTGGGGGTGGGGGAGAGAATGAGGTCACATTCACATAGGAGACTTGAATTGGCCAATTTTTAAATTGGCTCCAAGCACAAAAAGTATAACCCAAATTGTCTGAGTTGTACATTCAAATTTTATTGCCGTTTCTTTGCTGAATTGATGCATACATAATCCAAAAAGCACAGAAGAGGCTCACAGCCCATTAAACCATCATTATAAGGTGAGTTGGAAGCCCAGAAAGTGTGCTGTTTATATACCATCCCATAGTGCTTAAAGCACTTTCTGGGCAGTTTAACAATTTAACTGTGCAAGTAATACATTGCCATCCCCCAGGCAAGCTGGGTACTCAGTTTACTAGCCACAGACGGATAGAAGGCTGAGTGAACCTCGAGGCAGCTGCCTGGGATTGAATCCTGGTCATGAGCAGAGTTTTGGCTGCAGTGCTACAATACCATGAAGCTGAAGGTAGGTTGTGGAGCAAACAGCACTCTGTACTCTAGCAAAGGGGAGCAGCTGGAGAGATCTTGACAGTCATCTCAAGACTGCCCTCATCAGCCTCTACTGCCAGTGACTGTCACCTCCTTCTGCCTCTTTGTCATACCCATGGCACATGTACCACTGCTTGATAATCTCTGCTTAGGTTTACTCTGCATGTGACCGATGCCAACTAGATCAGTGGCAACCATCAGCAGTGCATCATCATAGTTTAAGATTCTCACACCATCTTTGTCAATAAATCCTTCTCAAATTTTTTACATTGGGGGACCATAACTTGTGACCTTCTATATAATTTCCACACTGAGGTTGCCATCATTCCTCATCACTAGCTATGATGGCTATGGCTGCTGAGAACTACAGTGGTGGTGGCGGTGGGTCTGCTTGCCTATTCCTGGTTTATATGTTAAATCAGTATGACTTATTTCATGTCTATTCTGTGTTTCTCCTCATTATGCTTCCCCATCCACCATGAATTCAAAAGCAAAATAGTATTTTAAAGATCTGACCATCAATTTTGGGAAATATAAATTTTTAAGACGGGGAGTCAATGTGGAGAACCAACCATGAACCCTTTGGGGAAAGCATACAGGAACTGGATTTGAGTATGTCACTCAAATTAGGAGTTAGGAGGAGAAGGAGGATAACAGTGATGATGGCACCTGAGACAGTGCCTCATTCTTCCAAGTGTTAGGGGCAGCCCTGAAGACACATTTGAGTTGCAAACATTGTTCGTAGATGGGGCTTTCCATAAATCATCATTGTTGTCTCTTCTTCCTTCTCCTCCTCCTCTTCCGCCTCCTAGTAATTCTTTGTTAGATAAATTCAAACATGCCCCTGTGAGAACAGCAATTCATCATATTTAAAATAGAATCAATCTGATCTTTAAAAATGGTACCCTATTGCTGTTGATGAAAACTCTTATTTTGAGCATTGATATTCCACTGCAACTATATCTCCATGCTAAAATTGCAGTGGGACTCTGAGATAGATTACCATAATTATTTATTAAAATTCTTATAGACGGTCTCTTGGTATTTTATCAGTAGATACCTAGTTTAAATTGGGGTGTATCTGTTGGATAGAGATACTCTCTTAACACTCATGCTAATGGTGAAGATAACTATCACACTCTACTTCTAAAGTTTCAGATGGAGATTTAATCTTGTGTTTCTTTTTTCTGCAGTCTCCAACTGATTAACACATAACAATATTATAGGATTCCACCTGCAACTAAAAGAGTATGGCAAATGTAAAAGTCTCAATGCATTTAGCTAAGAACTGGTTCTGGCCCTTTGGTAGTGACAGTGAATGCCTTGACTGACACGTAAGACTGAAAACTAAGAGTGATTTAGGGCCTGTCCACACTGGGAAATGTGGTACTGTCGAGTCTGTCGAGTCTGTCCTTAAACTGGTTCTTACCTTAAGTGTAATTTATTTTAACTCTTAATGGAGCAATCCTTCTATCTACAGTACAGTAGAGATTGTGCTATGGGTGCTCTTCTCCCATGCTACAGGTCCACACAGAGCAAGGTCTACCCAATTTTCTCATGAGCAAGGAGGCAGCTGCAGCACAGCTGCAACACAAAGGGAAAACTTTGAAATGAATTTTTTCCTCAGGTGGTGTTTTGCCTGGACTGTGTTGCCTAGTGGGGTGGAGCCCATGGAGTTGACATAGACCCTACCTTTTCTTCAGATCATCATTCAGGGTTTTGGGGTGATGCTGCTTTTATTTCTTATTTTGGTTTTTAAAAGTAAGTGGCATATCAAAACAGCAGTGCACCAACGTAGCACGGTATTAGAATTTCACTGTGTCAGTTCGGGAAATATTTAACAAGAAGAAGATGATGACGAAAATAGAGGAGGGGGTTTCTCAGCCCTCCCTTTTAATGCAACCTACCTATTATGTCACAGGGTTTTGTCTCCTCAGTTAATGCCATCCACAGTTCTGAGTGCAGGCTAAGAATATTTGCCCAACCACTGTGCCAAAAATGTGTCAAACAGGTCTTCAAGGGCAGGATGGGTTGCTCTAAGTGAAAACACATGTAGATGCCTTCATTTGGTTTGAACCGAACTGTAGTGTCTGAGTTTGTCAAAACTTGTGTCCGAACCTATGTGTCTGAGTTTGTCAAAACATATGGAATCCACAGGCTATGAGCCAGTCAAACTCAAAACTCAGCTAAAGAGTATTTATTCAACTGTTCTTTGACCAGGTAACAAAACTCTAATTAAAATCTGAAATGTGGTTTTGATTAGAATGTGGAACTTAAAAACAGTTCTATAGGGACAGAGTACATTTATTTTCTTTTTTTAAAAGCAAACCTTCTGATATTGTGTTACCTCTAGGTGTATATATTTCAATGTTAAAAATAAAAATCTGAATCACCTATTTTTCATTTTATCCCCATGTATCATATGGTGGTTATGACAGGGTTCTGTGAAATAAATGTTCAAAAACTATGCATTCTTTTCTTATTTTCAGCCTTTATTATGGCTATTAATCACTGATGCTGTAGTTCTGCTTCTCAGTCTTGCCACATTCTGAAAGCTTGAAGTCTCTACATTTTTTTTGCTAAGTCAGTATAGAATGGCAGTTAAGGGGTGAACACTGTGGTTCTCTCTATAGGTTGAATGAGCTTTTGGTGGTTCGCATGTGATTGCAGAAAGTGTTTCCAAAAATAAAAAACTTTGAGCAATGGGAGAGGAACCTTATGAGTATAACTTGGTACTATGCAGGGCCTGTTTTGAAGGCCAACCCACTCCCTTATCACTGGATGTGGCTTCCGTACAGATCCAGACAGTATTGATTAGGAGGAGTTGGTTTGCTTTATTTATTTGTTTATTTGTTTATTTGTTTATTTATTTATTTATTTATTTATTTATTTATTTATTTATTTATTGTCATTGTAAGTATATGCACAGTATACCCATACAATGAAATTCACAGACACCCAGAGACCAGACACATGCACACACATAAAATTCCCCAAACACTCCCCACCCACTAAAAAAATCCCCCAACACTCCCCACCCACTGAAA